CGCTGTGTACGGTAAGCCTCGACAAACCAGTTGGGAGGCCGATTGCCATTCTTGAGTCTCAATTCAGTTTGCATTATCTTTCCCTTTTTTCCCACCTCTTCTAGAGAAGCTTCGCTGATGATGGATTCTGGGAGAGCGCTGAAGAGGTTGCTTTTGCTAGCATCCAAGTTGGCATAACTTTCAACACATGAGTTCACTTCTCTTCTCAGCCTGTTATTGAAGTACTGACTTGTTACCTGTATGGAGTATATAAAATGATTTTAATTTTCTGGAAATACAGGCAAACAGAAAATCAAAAGTTACTAAAGTTACTAAAAGTATTGTCAAAGAATGTACATTTGTTTCATGAAGTTGTAAAATTAAAGATTAGATAGAAAAAGGCAAAAGGTAGAGGGAAAGACATTTATACATAACAAATAGTATATCACATGCATATACATATGTATTGTGCATGCTACCTTTCTACCTAGTACCTACATACTTACCTACCTACCTACCTACCTACCTACCTACCTACCTACCCACCCACACATATATCTAGGTACATTTATATAATATATACATCTATGAAAAAGAAAACAGCCATAATAAGAAATGAAAATAAATTTTTATGTTTCAAACTCTTCACGAATTCCTTTTTCAGGTGAAAATTTAACCAAAATGGATACGATTTCCTCTTCATCTGAAAAGAAACGCAGGAAAAGTTTAAAACAATTCATTCTTATTTCTTATTGTGGCTGTTTTCCTGTTCATTTCTGTGTACAGATTATTGTGTTTGTACTTGTGTTGATATACCTTTATATGCTCATATACATTTAAAAAATACATATACATACATATGTGTGTGTGTGTGTGTGTGTGTGTGTGTGTGTGTGTGTGTGTGTGTGTGTGTGTGTGTGTGTGGTGTGTGTGTGTGTGTGTGTGTGTTGTGTGTGTGTGCTGTGCGTGTGTGCGTGCATGTGCGTGTGTGCATGTGCGTGTGTGAGAGTGTCGGTGCGTGTGGGTGGGTGCGCGTGGGTGCATGTGTGTGTGTGTGTGTGTGTGGGGGGGATGGGTACGTGCATGCATGCGTATGCGTATGCGTGCGTGTGTGAGTACAAGAGTGCATGTGTGCATGTGAGTGTGAGCATAAGTGAGTGAGTGAGTGAATGAGTGTGTATGTGTAAAAGGACAGAGAAAGCCGTAAAATAGGGAGGAAAGGGGGGATAGGATGTAGAAGAAAGAGGAAGACAGAAGGGAGAGGGAGGGAGCATGAGAAGGAAACACAGAGGAAAAGAAAAAAGACAACAAGGAGACACAGGGAGAATGACAAAAGAGCAAAACAAGATAGACACTTACAATATTCGTAATTTTCTTGAGAGGCTTTGACGCGTGCCGAGACAAGAAAGACAAAAGATTCACTATTCTTCGGTGGCCTTCTGTAAAGTCTCCGAACTTTCCCTTTCTCATCTTTTTATGGCCAGGCCGCTGTATTTCCGACTGCAACTGAAGATAGAAGCTGGAGAACGCACCAAGGGGTATGTAGTCATTACTCAACAAGGTGCCGAAGAGAGGCAGGTGTTCTTTGTTTATGCCAGCATTCTGTAAATAAAAGAGAATATTTCTTTTATGACAATTTCATCATAATCATGTGAACTATAACTAATACTAGGGGGTTCAAGTTCCTTAATCGAAATAGGAGTCAGCTGATCAGAAGTCTGTGTGGGTGGGTGGTAAACAGAATACTGAGGGGAGGAGCAGAAAAATACAATTATGGAGAAGGCCTTTTCATTTTATTGCTTGCTCTGGTTGTGCTCTCTCACTCTCTCACACACACACTTGCAGACAAAGACACAGGCACACACACACACACACTCACTCTGTCTCTCTCTCACACACACACACTACAAAACACACACATATACACACACACACACACCACACACACACACACACACACACACACACACACACACACACACACACACACACACACACACACACACACACACACACACACACACACACACACACACACACACACACACACACACACACACACACCCATGCACATACTTGAGAGGTTTTAATCAGAGGAGGGTTACGCAAGGAAAGTAGTAGTAATAATGATGATAGTGCTGAAAATAATAACTTTGATAGTGGCCATCAAGATCAAATTGCAAAAAATAAACAAAAAAATTCTAGGAGCACACACAATAATACTTGTTGTGTCCAACACTCATTTGCAAACATCAGCTTATCATGCACGGAATGTATCTGCTGCCAGTGATATGGTTGTCTTAGTTTTAAGTGGAGGAGAAACATAATTGCAAGGGCAAGGGATATAGAAATACATTTTAAGATTTTGTTTTTTTTCCAAACATAATTTCAATTCACAACCAACTTCTGTGTTTGTCATAAACAACTTGGTATTCATAATGTTCTGCACTACCTCTGCCTATAGTTCCTGCTCATGCATTATCATAGATTTTAAAAATCCTACTAATTAACATATATTCAAGACTGTCAACCCAATTTACATCCATGATGAACATTTATTTTACTCATATATCTGTATATCCACATCCACACCCACACAGAGTAGGCCTATACACTATAGACATATATCTATATATACACCTCTATCTATTCATTTATTTATCTATCATTATATGCTTTGAGGTGATTTTAAGTTTGATACTAACTGCCGCAGTGAAATTCTGACATGCATCCAGCCTTTACAAAGGAAATCACAATCATTCAATTATATTACGGTTGCATGAGTAAAAACACCCTGGCATGAGAGTTTTCACAAGTCTGAAAATAAGTAATCTATAAATCTGGCTAATCTAATGATAATGAAATATAGGAATTGCTCTTACAGTAACCCTGAACATCCCCAAAGACTACAAGTCTTGAGAGCAACTGTGAATGGGAGAATGGGGGTCTTCATATGAGGTTGTATTTGCCATACATTCCAAGAATTCTTATTTTGTACTTATACTTTTACACTATAATAATTCATAAGATAAAAAGAGGTAAGAAAAAATGAGGACCTACTTATGTGATTGGCTCAGAGAGAATATAAAATATTACAGAAATGAGAAAATGTTAAATAATTTCCTCTTCCTTGTACTGAATCATCTACTACCTAGAGGGATGATATGGAGTCTGTGTGAGGAAAACAGTCTATTACCATCTTGATAAAGCAAATCAAATGACAAATATGGATATTGGAGAATGGAAAAAAAAAGCTAAAAACAATTATGCATAAACAGGAAGTAACATTGCAATGGGGAAGCACAGTCTTGTCACCGCACATGAGTGTTCCGGTGCACCCAGCCAACATGAAGGCTTAATTCCCAAAATTTGGTCCATGTGATTGCCGTGAAACTGCCAGATCCAAGGGGTTAAGGGAGATAAATACAAGTAAATATCCTGCCAGTTTTTGAGAAGCTTTGCTCCATCATGACTGCTTGGATTGCTGTTTTTTATTATTTTTTTGAAAAACATCCATAATGGCCGGTCAGTAACTAACAGCCTATACTTATTACTTCTCCATCATATAATATCAGTAAAATGACCAATCATGTAAAATAGTTCAATAATAAAATGAAACTTGTCAATTTGAGTTCAATTCCTAAGAATGGCAGAGGAATCAAGCCTTTGGCAACAGCATAGTAACAGTGCCAGCTTAGTTGTTATGTGGGATATTTGAACGTGTTGTCCCTAAAAGTTTCTCAAAAAAAAAAAAAAAAAAAAAAAAAAAAAAATCCTGCCTTATGATTTCGTAACAATAAAAGTGAAAGAAGAAATCAATAATATAATAAATAAATTTCAAGACAAAATTCAGTCATGTGATAGTAATGTTATCATCGCTGGGTTTTTTGATATATCAATGTTAATAATAAAAAAATTTGCATTTGGATATGGTTGCACTTTCTAAATGACTGCTTCTTAAACAAATTTGGATAACTTGTTTAGAAAGAATATCTATCATCTGCATGATATGATTATCACATTATGAAAAATTTGGCTTGAGAGACAAGTGACATAGTCATACCATCATGGAAAAATCTGGCTTACGGCCAGGGTGACAGAACTTATCGTCATGAAAATTTCAGCTGAAGGCAAGGGTGGCAGGAACAACTCGTCACAAGTGCACAGAGATCTTGCACAGTGATTAGACTCAGAAACGGTTTTTGCATTTTTTCCATTCAGAAATCAGTGTGAAATGTATCATCCATGAGTTATGGAATACTTAGAGAGATAATATGGAGTCAGTACAAGGAATACATCTAGACACAGCATATCAAATGACAAATGCAGAAAAAGAGTTGAGAACATTGCAAGGAAGAGGCATGGAGTCTTGACACTAGCCATGAGTGTTCTCATGCACCTAGCACCCATGCCACACACCAGAGAGACGTGAATCAAGTGAGCCTAATGTCTGGATTTTGGGCCATGTGCAGGCAACAAAGCACCTGGATCCAATGGGATAACCTTTAAATTTGACGACAATAAAGTAAAATTTCACTTTCATTTCCAATTCAAGCAGCCTTGTCCACATGAAGCCCCTTAAAAACTGGAGGAGAGTCAGGAAGCAATAAGATAATGTTTAGCAAGTTAATTCTAGCTACCCCATAGCAGTTCTCCAAACAAACAAACAAAGATCTAAACTGGCCTTGGTCAAACATGAAAATCTTAAGCTTTTCTACAGTTAGGCAGTAAGGGGACTGTTGTAGTGACATAATGATTTGATGTGCATACACGGCATAACTTGCTCTAGCGAGTGAGTGGGTGGGCCAGCTGTACATAGCACACACCCTGCCAGAAAGGCTTGACTGTTGTATAATTATTATGTCACACAAAATTCTGACCCTGGCATGAAAGGTTAAAAGGCATAAATAAATAAAAACAAGAAAATGTGAGACTAAAGCAATATACCATTAGTAATTATACCCACTTCTTTTCTTTATTAGGGTTAATATGCACTTTTGGGATTTTCAACAGCATGCAATATGTATGAATTGCATTGTTGTATTTCAAATTATTTTCATCAACAGTCTGTCAAATGCATCCAATTATAAAAATTTACAGCCTGTCATTCAATTTTTCCAGGCACAATGTTCAACTAAGAGGAGTTCTTGTTCTTTAAAATCTAGCATTTATCACAGTCATCAAAGCTACCAATATGTAAACAAAAACTTCCAAAATTTCTCATCTGTAACTATCTTGTGACAGTGTCTATGTTGCTATATATCCAATGCAACTCCTGTATGCACCTACCCAAGCCACCACATAGCTACCCCCACCTCCAGTTTTTTAAAGGAAAAGGGAAATATTCTATTATGATAAAAATTTTCTTCTGCACATGATGCTTTATGATGCAAGTAATGTATTTAGGTATACATTTATTTAGAAATATTATCCTATACCCAATGGACCTGGTTTCCAAACATAAAGTTAGGAGAAAAACTATTGAGTGAGTACTTGAATGATGGTATGAATAACATTACTAATAGACGAATAAATGTAATTTCATATCAAATAAAACTGATGTCAAATTTATAGGAAAGATATTGTACACGTAAAACAATGGACAGACTTATGACTAGATCAACTAAGTTCAGCAAATTGAAGTGTACTACATTAAACAGCAAATATACCATGCAGAAGATATTTGTAAACTCTTCACAGCAATCATCTTTTCAGTTGATAAAACTTTCACAAGCTATAAAGCTAGTGGAATGAGAAATGTCCCTAAGTTAAGCTAAGAAAAATCTAAGACTTCCAAATATCAGTCACCATTTAAACTAAACAAATATCAACAGAAGTATTACTGAACACATTTCACACTGGTATTTGTACTGCAAGTGGCAGAAGGCTCAAGGCACTTCAAAAACATCCTTAGTATTTTTTATCAACAAAATTCATAGATCATCCCATTGTGCATAATTTTGACTGTAAAGAGTGTAAAATTCCTATTATTCTAGAAATGCAACAATATCTATAAGATTGTGGAATGAGCAAAGCTGGATACAGAAATGTTTCCCACCATTGTATGACTTCAGAAATACCAACTTCAAAAAAATACTAACCGTGCAAAACTCCTCTCTATTAAAGAGAAAGCAGGGAATATAGTTGATGGTCTCTCCAGTCTTCTTATCAGTCTCAGTAACGACATTCTTGTAATTCATGGATTCCAGCCTGATCAGGGGCACATCACACACAATGAAGTCTGAGTCATTGCTTAACACTGTGTAGCCCAGGTTCTTGGCAAGGACAGCTATTTCCATATCAGCCTCAAAGTCAGTCTGCAAGATCGTGATGTCCATGGAGCGAAGAGTTGTCACAAAGACTTGGCGACCCATTGGGGGAAAAATTTTGAATTTGGCAATGGAGGGGCTGGCTCGCAGACACATGCTCAGCTGCATCTGCAACCTGGTTTGGACTGTCACCCATTTGCTGCCGTCAACAGGCTGGCCACCATCCATCACAACGATGACTTTTACATTACATTTCTGCAACCTGTGGATATATCATGGATATATTACAAATAGAAATTCCTTGTAAAAATGGATTATGTCTCAATAGTACAGACAATAAATCTTATAGACAAGAGTTAATAACTCATGTGAAAACTAGGTAAACAGCCAAACAGTATAACAAATATTCTATTAATAGGTGAAAAAAGCAGAGAGAGAGGAGGGATGGAAAAAGCAAGCGAGAGAGAATCTAATACATATGTCATTACAATAAATCCAGCAAGGAAATCATACATAGGTCACTATAACTTTTTAGTAAATTCCTAAACAGTATGAAGTAAAACTATAATAAAGTAAATGAGCTTACCCTTCAAAAAACTTTTGGATGAAATTTGCATATTTGTCATAGTCGCCCCCAAAGTAAGCATTGATGCCTGAACATTCATCATACAAAAAATGTGCCAAATTGTTGCCATCAATGATGAGATTACGGTTGTGAAGCTTGTGCCACTCAAGGGTTTTTGATGCATGTTCAAGGACATACGAGTGAAGGCCACGTATACCCATTTTTCTGGAAAATATAAAACAAACATCAATACATAATAACTTATAATAGAGCCAAAGAAAAGGCTGGTAAAAGATTTGTCATATCCAACATACATCAAAAGGCACCAGTTTGTTACATATATTGTGTCTGGAGTAAACTGATCATTTTCCCCATTGAAAGGAAATCATAAAATGAAAGCTATTAATATTAATAATAATAATAATAATAATAATAATAATAATAATAATAATAATAATAATAATAATAATAATAATAACAATAACAATAAATAAATGCATAAAAAATAGCAATAATAATCAAAATCAAAATCAATCAAAACTATGTTAATGCTAATGCTAATAATAATAATAATAATAACAATAATGATAACAACAATGACAATACTAATACTAATACAAATAATGATAATAACAGTAAAAAATCTATATACATCTAACAATCAAATATGTTTTATTTCAATAGGATGCCTTTCAATAATCATCTTAAATGAATGCAACCAGTAAGAGGGTGTGCATGACCAAATTTCTTGCAAAAATTAACATTCAATTTTCAAATATGCATTTTCAACAGTTTGGTGATTTTTGTTTCAATCTTTATTTCCAGTTGAAATAATATAATGTGATGCTTAATAAAAATATAACAGTTCACAAAATATGTGACATATAGTTTGAAGTAATGAATCTGATCTATTCAAAATAATTCAGAGTCGAACATGGCATTAATCAACTAATGCAATCCCACTTGGGAGATAAAGCCCCCCAACCCCCAGCCTGGAAGACAAAGAATCCATGTGTTAAAGGCAGGATAGAGAATATGGCTGACATATGGGGGCACCCTATGCCGAGCCTGTCTTACCCTCTCTCCTGCTGTACATATATAGTGGATTCTCTGTTGTCCAGGGTGGTGATTGGGTGGTAGCAGCCCCCCTCGGATGGTTGCATCCCTATATTTATCTATACATTGACCAATTCTCTGTATATTATTCGTATTCAATCTAACAATTTCTCTGATAACATTCATGCTCTCCAATGCTTTTAAGGCTAAGATTGTGGATATTTGAGGCATTTCCGTGGCACAATTATAGTTGAGAAAAATCAATCTGTACCACTATCATCATGAACAGACATGCGAAGGTATTTAGGATTTTATTGTGGATTCAAGTTTATTGACAAGAGTTAGCAAATAAACCTAAGAAGACACCATCACAATCTAAAAGTGTTGCCAGCAAATTTGTCATTGCTAGTGGTAATTCTACAAGCACGATGATGCAAAACAGACACCTTGAACATTTATCTTTCCCCGACTCTTTCTTAAACAATTTCACACAAACCACCATCATCCGTGTAACATGAAAATATGAACAAAGAAATAAAAACGCCACTATAATGACATTTAATTATTAGTAATTAATGAAGAGAACATTTTAACCTGTTTCCAACATACACCCTGAAGTCACCTTATCAAACGACTCTTATTACCTTATTTACGTTTGTACACTCATGAATACCATGATTCCATATTCCGCATAAGGCAAAGGTAACCTTTAAACTCATGAATAGATCATACTACCTTTATTAGTCTTCCACAACGTTAGCTGTTACATAGGCCACATGGTATTGACTAGTCGCCGCTCAGAGGTAAACACACACGGGTTCACTATCAATGAATCAAGACTGGAAAGTTATCCCTAAAAAATAATAAATACAATTGTTACCCCTAAAAATCAAAGAAAATCATGATAATGCCATCTAGTGATTAGACTCGGCACTAGGAGAGAAATGCATTTAAGGAAGGATATTTACGTTTGAAAACAGCGAAATCTAATGTTATTATAGCTTCGTACTTTTATTAGAATTTCGGTTCACTTCATATATGCTGTAAACGCTTTTGAAATTCGACAGTACGTTGAACAAATATGTGGTCTCTGCACTAGCGCCATCTAGTTTTCGAAATGACAATTATTGTGATTTGCAATTACTGTGTATGTGTCAAACACACATATGTATGGTATCAAAAGCGTAAACTTAAATGTGTTATTTTGGAATGTTACTAACATATATACTCTTTTCTTTGTATTCATCCATGATAAAACACCATAAGCGACGCACACGCACACACACACACACAACACACACACACACACACACACACACACACACACACACACACACACACACACACACACACACACACACCTATATATATATATATATATATATATATATATATATATATATATATATATATATATTGTGTTGTTATTATGATGATACTGGTATGCAATATTACCTTTGTTGGTATCATTATTATCATCATCGCCATTATTACTAGTAATATCCTAAATTCCAGCAATGTTTTTTTAAAAATTTTCATGATTATTTTCAATATCATTGTTATTACTTTTTTTGTAATATTATTATTACTACCATCGCTATTATCATCTTTATTATTATTATTATGATTATTATTATCATCTTTATTATTACTATGATCATTATTATCATCATCAATCATGTTATCATTAGTGTTATAATTTCCATAATTGTTATTTTTCATCATGATTTTCATTATCATTATTATCATTATCATTTATATCATATTGTTATCATTATTAATATTATTACTCTCATTAGTATTATCATTATTATTATTACTATTATTACTTTGTTATTATTATTGTTACTATTATTATTATCACCATCATAATTATTATTATGATCATTATCATCTTTATCTTTATTATGATTTCCACTATTACCATTATATTATATTTCTTTTATTATCATTTTTACTGTTGCTATTATTACTTACAATATGAAATGAGAAACTGATACACAAAGGGAAAATGTGAAATTGCTAGTTATAGCCTGTAGTAGTCATTATGCTGATGAAATTGATATTTACAGTTATCTTAGACAAGAGACACAGGACAGTTTAAGGTAACAAGAAAGCTTTAAAGACCTGAAAATACGATATTCACTATTACTAGGATTTTTTTTTACTTATTATTTGTTATTTTTTTTTTTTTTTTTTTTTTTTTTTTTTTTTTTTTTTTTTTTACTTATTATTCGTTTTAACTTTTTTATTATTCGTTTTTACTTTTTTTTTATTCGTTTTTACTTTTTTTTTTTACTTATTATTCGTTTTAACTTTTTTTTTTTTTACTTATTCGTTTTTTTTTTTTTTTTTTTTTTTTTTTTTTTTTTTTTTTTTTTTTTTTTTTACTTTCTTCTTCTTTTCCAATCCCGCCGGCATTTTTTCTCATGTTCCACCCGTGTAGGAGGTGGGGTGGGGGTGGATGGTAGGGGACCCCCGTCGCCTCGAACGCCTTCCACAGCCGAATCGCGACGGAAGTATGCAGTATAGCAACGATAGCTGGAAACTCTAAGGATGTGTACCCCCGCTGTCCATAATTCCTTCCAGCCTACAGTGATATACATACCTTCGTCGCAACTGTACATCACGTAGTGCAACACCGGAATAATTTTCTCATCTGTTGTGGCAGAAACTGGTCTACTTTTGGCTGTGCATGACTGTCAGAGCAACAGCGGGAAAAAAAACAGGTTTCCTAATCGGGTCGTACTGATGTCAGCTGTTTTGGATTCCATTGGGATTTATTATGATAAAGAGGAAGTGACATTTTTGATCATCGACGATTATAACCTTTGTATCTGTATCAGATAAGTAAGATATGCAAAGCAGATGCACAATACCGAATGATGTGTTTCTTTAATTGAAGTGCTACACATGTACTTATTTATTTATATATTACATATAGATATGAATAAACATATAGATATGAATAAAAAAAAAACGGAAAAAATGCAAAGGAAGTTAAGTATAAAACGAAATTGTCATTTTGTAAGTAAAAATCTCCCATAAAGTATATGTCTTGTGTAAGTAGTAATATGCGTGGCTGTGTGTCTATGTATGAGTGTCTGTGTGTTTGCTGTTTCTTTACGTGCGTATGCGATCCTTTCACAGACGCTAGATATGGTATATTCTATATTTATATTGGTTCCTCCGGCTGTTATTCGTTGTCATTTTAAGTGGAATTTGGGGAACAACGGAACAGAAACACAATTTTATGACCTCCATTGCTTCAGAAATCAGGTCTAAGATAAGACTGATTAGGTATTTGATACAATCGCGCAATGCGTCATGACATACTGAATCCATTTAAATGTTACACATCCATAGAAATCTCCGAAGCAAAAATCCAGGATGGAAAATAAACCCAATGAGGGGAAAAAATACAAATTAAGATGACATTTCCCTAATGAAATTGAAAAATAGGTAATTACATTCTCGAAGTAAATCAAAGGAGAGGAAGAAATGAGAAGGCAAGTGGCATTCTCCACGTAAATAGAAATAGGCGAAGGATCCCAGAGGTATGTGCCATTCACCCCTCGCGTTCAGATGGCTTGGCACACCTGTCATTTATTCACCTGTCATTAATTCACCTGTCATTAATTCACCGATTGTGTTTACAACTCGGTCCACAAGTACAGTCGGACGCAAAAGTTCGACTGCACCTACAGGCTGGTAAATCTCTCAACGCAGTATTCCTCTTATTCAAAGTAAAAAGGAAGCCGAAGGAAGGGAAGCGAATGGGAAATGAGTGTATTTTATTGCTTTTATTAACACTGATATAAATTATTGTTAAGGTTATTACTATCACTGTTACTAATACTATCATTATTATACTATTTTTGTTTTTGTTTTCGTTGGGATTGGAAGGATTATCCAATTTTCTGAAACCATCATTACTATATTTATCTATATGTGTATATTATTGATAATATTGTACAAACTAGATTTATTGATGAAAGTAGTTTCGGAAATTCCATTATTCGGGAACTTAGGTCAGATCAGGTATCAGGCGGTCTATGTGATGACCGGCATATATGTATCTATATTCCGAAACTGTTGTCTCACTTTCATCAATAAATCTAGTTTGTACATTGTGGGTTTTTCTTCCATATATATATATATATATATATATATATATATATATATATAATATAATAATCGACCGATTAATTGTTTATGGGGTTATAGTGACCTCTCTTATATGTCGAAATTCTTATATTCTGCGAATTCCAGGGTCCAACCTATTTTCCCAAGGTTAATGTCGTTATCGTCATTCCTCCCAATTTCATTTCTGATCCATAACATTACTACGTAATGGAGAATCGTTTAACGAATACGAAAATACACATATCAAAAACTTGTGGCTTCCTAACAAGAAGAGACAATAGACCTCAGGAAATGTGTCGCCCTTACGGTAACAATCCATAGATAGTTTTATCAATTACAAAGAAAGCACGCCTTAACCAGACACTTCTAACTGTGCACACACACACACACACACACACACACACACACACACACACACACACACACACACATACGATACTATCAAGAACCTTCACTTTGACTCTTTGAAAGTCTGAAAACGCTTTATTTCATCGTCAGACCTATGTATGATTCTTTTGTACACTGCCTTAGAGTCGAGATCCTTCTCACTTTTCCTGATAAATCGCCTTTCTCTGCCTCCATGGCAAAACATCCATGCCGTGAAACTGGGGATTAATGCCTTCATCTATTACAATATCGTAATATAAAAAAGAAATCAAAATCTGAATTGTGAGCTAAAGTTTGATTCCCAGGACACCTGATGGCGCGGAGACTGTCATACCCTGTTCCCATATCTCTATTCTTTCGGTCTCCAATTAATGTCATTATCGCTTTATAAGCTGAAACACAACCAATAACCAAATACTAGTTTAACCCAGCATCATGATGAAATAATGCCAATGCTAGACAGTATCATTAGCGTAATGACAATTAAATACAAACAACTGACACCAGCAACTTCCCCTATTCCCCGCCATGTTGCCTCCCTCCCTCACCCCCGTTCGCCTTTGCCTTCCCCACGTCTGTTTTACTCTGGATAAGACGAATATTACATCTATGGGCGGCACATCTAAACTTTTTCAAGGCTGTAAGTATAGTGGGACTTTTGCCCCTGACTGTACGTCAATCACTAAGAAGGCAATTTATTAGTACTACCAATAACACGTATTTACCATCTCGATTTTCAGATTTTCTATAGCTATTAGGTTTTTGATGAAATGATAATCATAATTTTTAATAATAATAACATTAGCTATACTAGCATTAAAGAAATCCTAAAATAATGTGGACACGCTGTTACTAGTTGACTTCTTGATGGCCTAGCACTTGCATATCCTTTTGTGTGCGACAAAATTCACAGTGGACAATACATACTCCCATGTCCGAAGGGTCAATATCCGCCATAGGTTGCTGTTGAGCTGCTGTTCCTGTTCTGGTCCTCGTCGCTTTGCTGGGGACGAATGGCAGGTGTGAGGAAAAGCCTCATTTATACAAGTGAAATTTTTGAGCACCATTATTTTTTTATTTTTTTATTTTTAATCTCATGCGGCCCAGGTAAGAAGGAACACTCTTTAGTAAGAGAATCAGGTAGATGTAAATAAATAAATCTGTATTATGTGAACTAGCTCAAAATTATTTCATTTGCAAGAGAATACACACATATATATATGCAGACAATATGCTCACGCGCGCACGCACGCACACACACACACACACACACACACACACACACACACACACACACACACACACACACAAATGCACACGCACATATATTAAAGAAATGAAAGTGTCTAATCACATCATAGAATGAAATATAATATATGTTAAAGAAATGACAGTGTATAACCACACCCTTGAATAAAATAGAACATAAAGTTACAGAATTTACCCTTGGAAAAAACGTAACATTTGTTTAAAGTAATTTGAAATCATCATGTAAAAGCTACTCAGTGATCTTATTGTCAGATAAACTGTGAAGAATTGAATAGTGAGTTAAGGAATTTGAAATGACTTTATATTAAAAATAAGTTTAAACTTTTTTGCTAATGTCTTGAAATTATTCCCTCTGTGCAGGCTTTTGATGCATAAACTACAAATGTATATATAAAATACTAGTATTTTGACTTATAAATGTAAATTCAAACACTGCCATTGCCTTTCGTGAAAAGAGGGGCAATGGATTACTTACTATGCTGACAGTCACAATCAGCAGCAACACCTTGGACCGGATATCCAAAGTCTCCATGAACACCAGTTTGTTCTTGACTCCTCGTGTTCTTCCAATGGAAGCCACCTGCCTCCCTTCACCCGAGAAAACCTGCAGTTGAAGCGTTGTTTTTGTTTATTATTTTGGGTCTGTGAGGTCGCCTTCTCTTTCGTTAGATAATTGTTTTCAGTGTATTATATGCTTTGCTTTGTCTATCAAGAAAAAGGTTAAGATATTTTGCCAATTAGGATAATTTGGTTTTATACAACAGCAAACAGAGGGATTTTCCGCTAGAATATTAACAAGCCAACGCACTAAGATTCCCTCTTGCAAAACCTAAACCTTTACAGTTAAAAAGAAAAATAAGAAAAGGAAAGAAAGTCGGCTGAAATAACCTGAAGAGGTGGTTTGGTGCAACAGCCAGATTCTCCCTCCATTGTCAGTATCACGTCGCCACTGGTGTTGGTCAGTTCGTAGCTTCGCTCAGCGAGTCTCTTCACTTGGCCTACAAACATCCCCGATGGGTACGTGACTTCAATGTGCTGTGGAATTGAGCTTGCGGTTAGGGAGAGCAAATTCGCGTATGGAGTCACACCTTCAACACTGGTTCCTCTATGGTTTTATAATCCTGGCGTACTGCAGGGTATTCTGGTGTAACTAGGAAGGAATACAACGATGTGAAAGAGCGTGATTCTGAAACACGACAATAATAAGAATGGATCCGAACCTGCTCGACCGAACAGCAGCTGCTCGAGTCCTGGAAACGTTCGCCAATGATCACTGACTCCTTGTTCGGATTCCTCACAGTAAACTTGGTGCTGCCTGCTGTGGGATCA